TAGGAGATCCAGTCGATTATCACCTCCACAATCATACTTTGTAGGAGATCCAGTCGATTATCACCTCCACAATCATACTTTGTAGGAGATCCAGTCGATTATCACCTCCACAATCATACTTTGTAGGAGATCCAGTCGATTACCACCTCCACAATCATACTTTGTAGGAGATCCAGTCGATTACCACCTCCACAATCATACTTTGTAGGAGATCCAGTCGATTACCACCTCCACAATCATACTTTGTAGGAGATCCAGTCGATTATCACCTCCACAATCATACTAGGAGATCCAGTCGATTACCACCTCCACAATCATACTTTGTAGGAGATCCAGTCGATTATCACCTCCACAATCATACTTTGTAGGAGATCCAGTCGATTATCACCTCCACAATCATACTTTGTAGGAGATCCAGTCGATTACCACCTCCACAATCATACTTTGTAGGAGATCCAGTCGATTATCACCTCCACAATCATACTTTGTAGGAGTTCAAGTCGATTTTCACCTCCACAATCATGCTTTGTAGGAGATCCAGTCGATTATCACCTCCACAGTCATACTTTGTAGGAGATCCAGTCGATTACCACCTCCACACTTTGTAGGAGATCCATTCGATCACCTCCTCCACAATCATACTTTGTAGGAGATCCAGTCGATTATCACCTCCACAATCATACTTTGTAGGAGATCCAGTCGATTATCACCTCCACAATCATACTTTGTAGGAGATCCAGTCGATTATCACCTCCACAATCATACTTTGTAGGAGATCCAGTCGATTACCACCTCCACAATCATACTTTGTAGGAGATCCAGTCGATTATCACCTCCACAATCATACTTTGTAGGAGATCCAGTCGATTATCACCTCCACAATCATACTTTGTAGGAGATCCAGTCGATTACCACCTCCACAATCATACTTTGTAGGAGATCCAGTCGATTACCACCTCCACAATCATACTTTGTAGGAGATCCAGTCGATTATCACCTCCACAATCATACTTTGTAGGAGATCCAGTCGATTATCACCTCCACAATCATACTTTGTAGGAGATCCAGTCGATTATCACCTCCACAATCATACTTTGTAGGAGATCCAGTCGATTATCACCTCCACAATCATACTTTGTAGGAGATCCAGTCGATTATCACCTCCACAATCATACTTTGTAGGAGATCCAGTCGATTACCACCTCCACAATCATACTTTGTAGGAGATCCAGTCGATTATCACCTTCACAATCATACTTTGTAGGAGATCTAGTCGATTACCACCTCCACAATCATACTTTGTAGAAGATCCAGTCGATTACCACCTCCACAATCATACTTTGTAGGAGATCCAGTCGATTATCACCTCCACAATCATACTTTGTAGGAGATCCAGTCGATTATCACCTCCACAATCATACTTTGTAGGAGATCCAGTCGATTATCACCTCCACAATCATACTTTGTAGGAGATCCAGTCGATTATCACCTCCACAATCATACTTTGTAGGAGATCCAGTCGATTACCACCTCCACAATCATACTTTGTAGGAGATCCAGTCGATTACCACCTCCACAATCATACTTTGTAGGAGATCCAGTCGATTATCACCTCCACAATCATACTTTGTAGGAGATCCAGTCGATTATCACCTCCACAATCATACTTTGTAGGAGATCCAGTCGATTACCACCTCCACAATCATACTTTGTAGGAGATCCAGTCGATTATCACCTCCACAATCATACTTTGTAGGAGATCCAGTCGATTATCACCTCCACAATCATACTTTGTAGGAGATCCAGTCGATTATCACCTCCACAATCATACTTTGTAGGAGATCCAGTCGATTATCACCTCCACAATCATACTTTGTAGGAGATCCAGTCGATTATCACCTCCACAATCATACTTTGTAGGAGATCCAGTCGATTACCACCTCCACAATCATACTTTGTAGGAGATCCAGTCGATTACCACCTCCACAATCATACTTTGTAGGAGATCCAGTCGATTATCACCTCCACAATCATACTTTGTAGGAGATCCAGTCGATTATCACCTCCACAATCATACTTTGTAGGAGATCCAGTCGATTATCACCTCCACGGTCATACTTTGTAGGAGATCCAGTCGATTATCACCTCCACGGTCATACTTTGTAGGAGATCCAGTCGATTACCACCTCCACAATCATACTTTGTAGGAGATCCAGTCGATTATCACCTCCACAATCATACTTTGTAGGAGATCCAGTCGATTACCACCTCCACAATCATACTTTGTAGGAGATCCAGTCGATTATCACCTCCACAATCATACTTTGTAGGAGATCCAGTCGATTATCACCTCCACAGTCATACTTTGTAGGAGTTCAAGTCGATTATCACCTCCACAATCATACTTTGTAGGAGATCCAGTCGATTATCACCTCCACAATCATACTTTGTAGGAGATCCAGTCGATTATCACCTCCACAATCATACTTTGTAGGAGATCCAGTCGATTATCACCTCCACAATCATACTTTGTAGGAGATCCAGTCGATTATCACCTCCACGGTCATACTTTGTAGGAGATCCAGTCGATTACCACCTCCACAATCATACTTTGTAGGAGATCCAGTCGATTACCACCTCCACAATCATACTTTGTAGGAGATCCAGTCGATTATCACCTCCACAATCATACTTTGTAGGAGATCCAGTCGATTATCACCTCCACAATCATACTTTGTAGGAGATCCAGTCGATTACCACCTCCACAATCATACTTTGTAGGAGATCCAGTCGATTACCACCTCCACAATCATACTTTGTAGGAGATCCAGTCGATTATCACCTCCACAATCATACTTTGTAGGAGATCCAGTCGATTACCACCTCCACAATCATACTTTGTAGGAGATCCAGTCGATTATCACCTCCACAATCATACTTTGTAGGAGATCCAGTCGATTATCACCTCCACAATCATACTTTGTAGGAGATCCAGTCGATTACCACCTCCACAATCATACTTTGTAGGAGATCCAGTCGATTATCACCTCCACAATCATACTTTGTAGGAGATCCAGTCGATTATCACCTCCACAATCATACTTTGTAGGAGATCCAGTCGATTATCACCTCCACAATCATACTTTGTAGGAGATCCAGTCGATTATCACCTCCACAATCATACTTTGTAGGAGATCCAGTCGATTATCACCTCCACAATCATACTTTGTAGGAGATCCAGTCGATTACCACCTCCACAATCATACTTTGTAGAGATCCAGTCGATTATCCCCACCACAGTCATACTTTGTAGGAGATCCAGTCGATTACCACCTCCACAATCATACTTTGTAGGAGATCCAGTCGATTACCACCTCCACAATCATACTTTGTAGGAGATCCAGTCGATTATCACCTCCACGGTCATACTTTGTAGGAGATCCAGTCGATTATCACCTCCACGGTCATACTTTGTAGGAGATCCAGTCGATTATCACCTCCACAATCATACTTTGTAGGAGATCCAGTCGATTATCACCTCCACGGTCATACTTTGTAGGAGATCCAGTCGATTATCACCTCCACGGTCATACTTTGTAGGAGATCCAGTCGATTATCACCTCCACGGTCATACTTTGTAGGAGATCCAGTCGATTACCACCTCCACAGTCATACTTTGTAGGAGATCCAGTCGATTATCACCTCCACGGTCATACTTTGTAGGAGATCCAGTCGATTATCACCTCCACGGTCATACTTTGTACTGCAATGCCCTTCCGTATGACACACTGAATGTCTTCAAGTCTGGTGTGCCACGGTTCTGAAGCCTCGTGTTTTCATCCTTCTTTTAACTCATATATTTTAACCTTTCGTCGTTCCTACGCCATACCTACACACACTTTATAGCAGAATCATCAATGTGGGGGGCTATCATCGGGCAGAAGCAAAAGTACAAGTTAACAGATGATAACTATTAATAAATTGACGTATTCAATGAAAAATTCATGAAATCTGTGGGTTTTTTTTATTTGATAAAAAACTAGCCGGGATCCTCAACGTAACATAAGGGTACAGATACAAAACTATTTATATATTTGCTGCTAAATACATATTCTGCTGTTATCATCATACCATCAATTAGTTGACAAGATCGAGAGCCGTGGCACGGCATCTGTACGGAACCGTGATTTTTGTCGACTATTTGATCCACTCTACAGTGTACATAAGCGGTTAACCTATTGCTAATCAAGGTTAAAAACTTGCTACTTCAGGAAACAGTAGTCGATAAGTTTCTGGTGTTTTCAAGTATGGATCTACGGTTCCTTATTTCAAACTACAACTTCGGCATCGTGAAGTTATCGACTGTATGTTCCCCGGTGCATTAACAACTAACCTTGAATAATCCAGTATATGCAATGCATTATACTACATAAGGGAAAAGCACTCGATAAGTTCCGAGTGTTTTCAATAGTTAATCGTAGATTTGAATTGCCATGTGGTATAGAAACTTCGCAATGCTGTCTCCTTCAAACACAACAAAATACACGAGCAGACAACTTGTATTGAAATTTAAAAAAAAAACGGTATATTTGGCTAGTTAACGTTACAGAATATCCTCATGTGGTCAGATCATTTAATCATGATGTACTCCGGTCAGTTGTTGTATGGTCGCTACGTCATAAAACATCGGTCATCATTTACATTTTAAGTGACATATTCAATATTTCGCAGTAAGTCAATATAAAAATAAGTGTACACACCACTAAAACCCCCAATTATTTCAAAGCATAAAAAAAACCGCACACGGGACTGGCACTTTCAATATGAATAGTCAGAGAACAGAAAAGTTGATGGAATTAATTGTATATGGTCCTCATTGTTCTAGGACTCTTCAGCTACAACAGGGGTCTGAAGTATCGTTATCAAAGATAAAATGGATGACGGGAAACTGCAATACATTGCTACTCCGGAAATAAGTACGATTTCTTAAAACACATGAGTCAACTATGGTTTCTGGCTGGTGGATTGTATAGTCCCACAACCATCACCTTGGGTTGGGTGGATAGTCCCACAACCATCACCTTGGGTTGGGAGGATAGTCCCACAACCATCACCTTGGGTTGGGTGGATAGTCCCACAACCATCACCTTGGGTTGGGAGGATAGTCCCACAACCATCACCTTGGGTTGGGTGGATAGTCCCACAACCATCACCTTGGGTTGGGTGGATAGTCCCACAACCATCACCTTGGGTTGGGTAGATTGATCCACAGCCATCACCATGGGTTGGGTAGATTGATCCACAGCCATCACCATGGGTTGGGTAGATTGATCCACAGCCATCACTATGGGTTGGGTAGATTGATCCACAACCATCACCATGGGTTGGGTAGATTGATCCACAACCATCACCATGGGCTGGGTAGATTGATCCACAGCCATTACTATGGGTTGGGTAGATTGATCCACAACCATCACCATGGGTTGGGTAGATTGATCCAAAGCCATCACCATGGGTTGGGTAGATTGATCCACAACCATCACCATGGGTTGGGTAGATTGATCCACAGCCATCACTATGGGTTGGGTAGATTGATCCACAACCATCACCATGGGTTGGGTAGATTGATCCACAACCATCACCATGGGTTGGGTAGATTGATCCACAGCCATCACTATGGGTTGGGTAGATTGATCCACAACCATCACCATGGGTTGGGTAGATTGATCCACAACCATCACCATGGGTTGGGTAGATTGATCCACAGCCATCACTATGGGTTGGGTAGATTGATCAACAACCATCACCATGGGTTGGGTAGATTGATCCACAGCCATCACCATGGGTTGGGTAGATTGATCCACAACCATCACCATGGGTTGGGTAGATTGATCCACAGCCATCACCATGGGTTGGGTAGATTGATCCACAACCATCACCATGGGTTGGGTAGATTGATCCACAACCATCACCATGGGTTGGGTAGATTGATCCACAGCCATCACCATGGGTTGGGTAGATTGATCCACAGCCATCACACTATGGGTTGGGTAGATTGATCCACAGCCATCACCATGGGTTGGGTAGATTGATCCACAGCCATCACCATGGGTTGGGTAGATTGATCCACAACCATCACCATGGGTTGGGTAGATTGATCCACAACCATCACCATGGGTTGGGTAGATTGATCCACAGCCATCACTATGGGTTGGGTAGATTGATCCACAACCATCACCATGGGTTGGGTAGATTGATCCACAACCATCACCATGGGTTGGGTAGATTGATCCACAGCCATCACTGTGGGTTGGGTAGATTGATCCACAACCATCACCATGGGTTGGGTAGATTGATCCACAGCCATCACCATGGGTTGGGTAGATTGATCCACAGCCATCACTATGGGTTGGGTAGATTGATCCACAGCCATCACCTTGGGTTATTTGGATACTCACAGAGTGATGTACTTGAATGATTTAAAAGTTTGGTATATATGATAAGCTCAGTGTTTCAAAGAAGTTACTTGCGTTTTTCTAAAGATACAATTTAGAAATCAATATCGATAAGAGGCAAGATCGATACTGAAATTGCTATTTCATCCCGTAATTATGTCAAGGAAGAAATGGTCGTGCTTGAGTATGCTAATTCACAGTATGTTATTTTACTTTTGTTTCATAGGAATTTTTGACGGATCTGCTATATTTCTTTTTTTCAATGACTAAATAGTTGTGTATTGCTCACCCAAGAAGTGGAATAAATGGTTTATGGATTTTAAAGAAACGCAACGAACTTTTGAGAAATCTTGAACACCCTCTCAAAATTTCATTTTCCCCACTCAGCGCACTTCCATATCGCGTCCCGAAGTGAATTAACACTTTTGTACCTTAGTTCACATGTGAAAAGGAAACTCTCATAACCCGACAATAGATATATGGAGGAGAAATATACTGAGTGTATTAAGTGAAAATTACGAATGAAGAACAGGTAATATTAGGAAGAAATCGTGACTAATGACCGGTCACCTTGTTAAGGAAATTTACGTCGAGTTTGGTATTGAGATCTTGGAACAGACCATTGACATGGGAACAAACAATGCTTTTTTTTCGACTGAAACGTTTTTGTGTCGTATTATCGAAACACTTCTCAAAACAAGGACCCTGGCAAGTCATTGAGATTCCCATTTAGATATAGCGATGTTGTCTTTTCTTTAAACAGAAAGGTGATTACTTGCCATGTATGTTGTTTATACACAGAACAATTGTAAATTGACAAAGTAGATTACATCTATATCTACATCAGCCGCCTACCTCCACCTTTCCTTCAACGACACCACATTAACGTTTTTTTCACAAGGGTGATAAATCTTATTATTCCGATTTCCTTGTGTGAAGTTTCCATTCCTAGATAGCAACATCTCTTGCCTCACCAACCAGTGGTGTTTAAACAACACATTTGTCTCGATGCTCATGAGTTAATTTCCAGGATCACGACATTTGTGCATGCTATTTACAGTTGACAGATAAAGTCACCACACAGATAACATCTCGGCAACAGTTGCAGATAGGTTTAAGATGAATTCACTGCGGTTTACACTAAAATGTATTCTCGTCTAGGAATGTGATATCACTTACGTAGATTGACGTGGACTGAAGATATACATGGCGGTTGTCTTTGATGAAACAGAAGACGCTTATTTTTTCGAAACACATGTGTTTTATCCTTCTATTTGAAAACATTATTAATTTTTGTGTAAGATTTATTTTCGTTAAATTCAGGAGTACTCCAAATCCACGACTTTATATGGCATCTAACTTTTAAACGTTGATATGTAGATTAATGCTAGCGGATTTCTTGAAAAAGAGTTTACGACGAAATTAAGTGCTTATGAAAATGTGTATTTTTGGAAAACTACAAAATTTGATTGCCAAGAAAATGTATGAATCTATAGTACATAGAGTGCAATTATGCAATGTAATTTTTAGCTTGACTTCTTGTTGTCTTTTCAATTGATTAAAAATTCCAAACAGAAGCCTTCGGATAACGTTTTGATAATAAGCGTAACGTGATAAGCTCCCTTCAAATAGTTTTACCACTGACAGTGTATATATATATATATCTACCTGTTAATACATTTTTGTTCAGTATCTTGTAATATTGGGGAGGTCAGAAAGTCGATCGGAATTTTTTTGTCATTGAAGTTTGTCTTTAGCTTTTGTGTCAGGTTTAAAATCTTTACAACAATCCCTAGATTTTAGAATAAACATTTCTTATATCATTTGAATGAATATCCGATATCACAAGTGGACGTACTCATTAAGGCTTTAGTTGGCGAAGAAATCACTCCGTATTAGCAGATACGAATTAATCCAAATTTACTTCGGAATATAAATTTTCACAATTTCAAAGTGATAGAAATTGATTTATCACATAACCGACCCGTTTTCCCATGTCATACGCCCATGTTATAATAATGGTAATACACATGTGTAATAAAAGTCAGCACGTGGAAGACGAAAATCAGCAGAGGAAAAAACATGGCGGACAACAGGTGAGCAAACGCTGAAGACAAGAGATTAGTATGGAATTTATTCAATTTCTTTCAATGAAAATGTCATTTTACACAAAGTATCATAAATGACTTTAAAATATGCTTAAATGAAGAAATAATCTTAATTCTGGTAAGTATATTAGCAGCTAATTAGCATTATAAATGCCATCGCATGAGTCTGGCGTGTTTTTCAATCCTGTTTACTTCAGCTTCATGTGACTACGAGTTCCCCCAGCTTATTTTACATTACTCGGTGCCCATCAGAAATTTCTCGCCGTGTACAATTATGTAATCCCTAGTCTAACATTGTTGGAGTACCATCTTTTAAAGCACACGAAGGCTGATTTAAGCCTATATGGATTTTTGTAAGACTGTTATTGTTAATTTGTCGTAGGCCTATATCATGCATATATACGCTGTCGTTTATTATATACTGGAGATAGAAATAAGCAACATTTGTTGACACGTTTGGGTCGTAATATTTGCCAAGCCCCTGTGTGTTGACTATTAAAGCAGTCAGATTGGTCGTTTGTGTTTCTTTGGAATTCTACTGTTCAGTTTAAATTTTATTTTCAGTAATCTGAGTGAAGTAGTGGTACGAAAAGGCAATCACCATACCATGATTAAAGTCGACCCAGCGACAATGGCAGCCATACAAAGGCGTGGTAAGTAATCATGATAAAATCTCACAATCTTGCAATGTAACCATTTTGCTAAAGTATATAATTATTTAATGAAGAGGAAACATTTTAACATGTGATATGAACAAATTTTTGACCAAGGAGAGTAAAGAATGGTCGGGTGGTGCAGTGGATTGCCTTTCACCAAGGTGGTCAGGGTTCAATTCCCCGATTTGACGTGAAAGGGTATGGGGTCACCTACTCGACCACGTGGGTTTCCTCCCACACAACAAAGACCTCTCGCGCGCAAACATCTGTGCCAACAAGAGTGATTAATATAAGTTGAATAACTTGTTTCATAATTGTTGTTAAATAAATAAAAGTTTATATTTATTTTATAGAATGAACAGAAAGACACCATCCAATGGAGAAAATGAACTATAGCTAAAAAAATACTAAAATTATGTCTATAAGAAATCTTTTTTTATCTTTGTTTATAATAGAACCAGCCACTTTAAAGATGATTGCCAACATGTCAAGTGGACAGGAGGCAAAATTGGACCAAGGTAACTAAATTTATAATAATATCAATAAATAGATACATGCACAGTCCCCCCTCCCCCCAGGTGCTCATGTACAGGGACTTGTAATAATACATAGTTAGTTTTTAAAAATTAAATTTTAACGTTGGTACTAACTAGAAACAGATGCTATCCACATAAAGTCATTTATCCATGACACGAGAATTGATGACACATCATGTACCAAAATTAAAGTTTTAAATATAAATAGTGGTTCCTGTTATTTCTTGGCAAACTATTCCTCATTTGAGCATTTGTCAGTTATGTTTACAAATATAAAATAATTTTAAGGCAAATGTAAGGAAATGGAATACTGTTTCAAGGACTTTCTGCTGATTCCTTTTCTACTGATTTGCAACTGTATATGTTTTTTTTATAGATGCTGACCTTCCAGACATACCAGTTGCAAATGACCTTCCAGACCTACCAGCAACTGACCTTCCGGACATACCACCTGTTATATCCCAACCTAGTTCCAAGCTGTTCAGTACTAATGAAAGTTTGGCATTGATTGCGATGTATTCAGAGAGGAAGGACAAATTTAATAGTGCCAAATATAGAAATAAATCCTTATGGAAAGAAATTACATGTGAATTGAATGCCCTTACTGAAAAGACACCAGGCTTCTCCACAGCATAGGTAGAGGGTCGATGGAAGACTCTTGTATCAGCATACAGGAAACACATTACTAACCAAAACAAGACTGGACAGGGTAGCAAAACATTTGAGTTTGAGGAGGAAATGTCACAGGTACTTGGGGAAAGACACGACATGAACCCAGTGACGGTAATTGACTCAAGTGAACCCAGTACACAACCAGATGAACCCAGTGAACCTGATGGTGAATCTGATGAGAAAGGTGAGAAAGAGAAAATACTCAAAAGGAAGAGAGTTCGAAGCTCTCCCGATGTCATTGGCTTTCTAAAGGAATATGTAGAAAAAGAAGACAGAAAAAATGAGACAAAAAATTCAAAAAACAATGCATGATGAAAAAATGAATGTTTTCAAAAGCCTCATCGATGCAATCAAACAAAAAGATAACCATTGAAAACTCAAAATTGCATTGCTGACTCACCTACATAAATGAAAAATGAGTTATTTCATGCTAGTCAAATATGTTTAAATTTAGTCTGAGGTAAGACTGGCCCATATATATCAGCTTCCTGAAACAGGATGTGTGATACAAGCCTTTTGAGACTCTTCTTTTTGTTAAAACAGGTTTATCTGGTTGAACCATGCTAAATTAAGATATGAAATACAAATTCTATATATCTTCATAGACGTAACTTTCAGTGGTATGAATGTTATATTTCTAATATGCTGTAGTATTCATCATTATCAAATTTCATTAATGTGTATTTTCAGGTCAACTTTTTCAAGTCATTCCACCTGAAATTTTGACAAAAATTTTGTCATTTCTGGACATTGAAGATCTGCAAAATGTAGCTTGTGTCAACAAGACATTTGAAAGTATTACATTCAACCCAATGCTCTGGCATTTATATACATCCATATGTATGCATCGTATCTCATGGAATCCAGATATCTGTGCATGTTGTCTTGCAATGTCTGTGAACTGTGTATATCTAAATATTGATGCTAAACTTGTTTCATCCCTATCTTTTTTGCCAGAAATGAAAAAAATTGGAAAGTCTGAAAATTAAGGGAGCACAAAATATTTATATACCAGTTTAAGACATTCAGCGAAATTTAGGTCTTTGTGTTCATCTCAAACACCTTGAAATTTCATCATTGCCGCAAGTTGATGAGAGTGTGTTCATTCATTTGTCCGAAACTCTGTCTAATACTCTTGCATACTTGCATGTGGAATTTACTTTAACATCTGTGTCACCAGCATGTTTACAAAAACTTTTGGTAAGTCTCAAAGAACTAAAAGCAATCTGCATCACTCCTTCACAGGATATTGAAGGTTGGGCATCTATGTTAAATTTGTATTGTGGCAGAATGTGCTTTGGGCATGCAATTTTAGACCGAATTCCCAAAAGACTGTTGAACAAAAGTCTACAGGCATATTGTATGATGCCATTCAATTTTGAGGCAGATTATTGAAATGTTCAAAATTACTCAAAGATTTGGAAATAAGTCAGCAGTCTACAAATGTTGAACATATAACCATTGTTGATTATATAATGACTCCATGTGGTTATGTTAATAGCAAGTTTTCTATCCAGTTTACTTTATTAAATATTTACCATGTACTCTTTGTATCTGTAGCAAAGCCAGGAGACCATGGTAGGCTTATACAAATTTCATTATTAGCCAGCAAGGAATTATTGCTACAGTTCAATTGTTCTAAATTGTTCCACTGTATAGCTATAGATATGTCGAAGACCTGTCTTCACAGTTAATACATGATTTTTTTTCAAACCAAACAATACTTTCAAGTTTTTGTTTTTAGTTCTTTTGTCCAAGTAGGCTTCATACAATTTGGCAATTTTAATGGAACAAATACATAACAAGTCTTAAGCTGTAGAGTGAAACCTGTCTAATCTTAACACCAAATAGCAGTGAATGTGTTGGGATTAGACAAATTGTCTGATATGAATACATGTATTTTGTTAAGTAATGTTTTTTTTTTTTTTTTTTTTTTACATTTTTAAAATGCATTATTCATCCATTCAATATCACTATTTGTACCTTGCTAAAATTCACAAATTAAAGAGGCAAGAATTGAGATTTACAATTTATTCCAAAAGTAATATTACATTACATTATTATGGTACCTTGTCCATTGATTTGTCCATTTTGTTTATTGTTAATACATTTTATTTTTGTTACTGTTAATTATTATGTTTTGAATTTCCAGTCCAGGAAAATCAAATGTGAAATCCAATATTTTTTCTTTGTTTTCACTTATGAATTTAGTAATTATTAGTTTGCCATGTGTAGACAATGAAGTTACATATGAGCAAGCTGGTTGGTTATCTGTAATCTCTTCAGAGGGCCTTCCGCATCGTTTTGAAACAGCTGTCCTTGTGGAACGGGTACATGGGGTACAATATCATCCTCAAAATGATCTTCTAGTTCATCGCCTTCTAGAATGCACATATTGTGCAATATGCAAGCTGTCACTATAGCTTTGCAGATATATCCAATGTCAACCATGTCTACAAACTGCAAGAGCCGAAATCGCCCTTTGAGTATTCCAAAAGTGTTCTCGATAACAACTCTAGTGCCTGACAAAGCCCTGTTGTACTTAACCATATCACGCTGGAGGTGTCCATTGTCTCTGTAGGGTGTTAATAGCCAATGCTTGCATGGATATGCTCCATCTCCCAGTAGATGATGTCTATCGCAAAACACAGGACCATTTAACCATATCTGGGAATTTTGTAAAACTCGGGCGTCATGTACACGTCCAGGCCAGCCCACATTTATATCCGTGAACATTCTGTTTTCTCTGCACACTCCTTGAAGTAAGATGGAATGAAATTTTTTGCGATTTAAGTAATCTGGAGCGTGTTCATGTGGTGGTTTAATACGGATATGTGTACCGTCAATGGCCCCAATTACATCTGGGAATCCTTTCATTTGTTGAAAGTTGTCTATAATTGCTCTGTAATCAGCACGAGCAGGCCATATGATGAATTTTGTTTTCAGATGCAAAGTAAACACATCCAGAAGTCTCCTATTTTGGTCGTTGAAGGTTGATAGTGATACGTCAAATCTGTCTGCAATAGATCTGACCGTCTCTTGCGAGCCAAGATACCATAAACTCATCAACAGATCTTTTTCTATTGAAATTTGTGGCCGTCCAGCATTTGGTTCCCGTGGATGCAATTCAGGATAAGCTGCTATTTTAGTTGCAATTGTCTCAAAAGTACTCCTATAAACTCTAAAAAATGTTCTGAAAGAATCAGGGCTGTATTTTGGTACCACTTCTTCCACATAGTTTGCGATTCGAGACAAATCTCTCCGTCTGTAAATGAAACAAACGCTGTAAACGTAAAGCTAATTGAGTTCTTAAAGCAATTAGCCTACACTGATATATAATTTTATGGAAAGGAGCCTTAAATCTTAACAGTAACAGTAGCTAGGCCTTACCGGTCTACATTTAAGTAGAATCGACAACTAAATTTGCACATTTATTAAGATCTATGGCGCTTCTAAAGTGGGTTAATATACAATATTTTTCTTACAATGGCATTGTCATAATCCCGATTACAACGGTATTCATCGTAGTCGATCCACATAGCTGAAAATCTTCAACATCGTCATCCAGGCACATTACGGCTGCTACAATATCGCCATCGGACGCCATGTTTGTTATCCTAAATCTCGTTCGATTCGGAAGATCTTCCACCGCTCTACTGCCGGTTCGAGAAGAGGCAAATCGAACCGGCTATACGACAACAAACTGTAGTAAAATATGGCTGAGCAGATCAACATTTGCGACACAGTTTTTATTGATAAGCAGGGGACTTGTGTGGTGAAGGAGATAATTCCACGGGCTTTGCTGTATTTTATAATGTTGAATTGTGTGGGATTGACTTTCAAATTGAGCTTGAGCGCGATCGTATTGGAAAGGCGGTAGATCCCTCCCAACAGCAGACGACCGCTCCGGGTGGAGGTCCTGTTGCCCCTGAACCAAGTCGTTTCGTTTCAATCAGAGAAGATGAGGTAGGAAGTTTATACAGGATCAATCAAACAAGAATACGTTGAGCAAAACTTTGTATGACATGAAACTTTTTGTATATTTTTTTGAGTTACCAGAAATGAATGAAAAGCTATCATTGAAAGTGACAGTGACTCGCAGTAACTGGAGCAGTTAGGCTGAACCTGATGACCCGTGATGACGAGGCGAGTGACGTCATGTTACCAATATCAAGTGAATTTCCGGAAGATTTTTTCGTGTGATTTTTAAAAGTTATTTTGGCATTTAACAGAATTTAAATGCTTTACTTTGTCGATATTATTTTGGAACATAACAATCTCTTATTCAATCATTGAAAAAAGGTAGTATTTGCAACACGGATGGATAAAACTATGATTACTGTGCGTTGGTTTTGACATATATAGAAACAGCTGATTGCATAGTGGAAGTAAATTGTACTTTTCTGGCGATTTTTCAATTTTAATTGGTTATGTGATAAATAGAATCTTACACTCGTGTCAATGTATTATGGAATTTATTAAACTCGTTCAATAAATTGATATGCCACGAGCCGATCAAATTATTGAACTCGTTTAATAAAGTCCATAATACATTGACACTCATGTAAGATCCTCTATTTATTATTCTAGATGAACACGTTTGTTGCAGACTTGATATTTAACACGTATTTGTATATATTTGTATGTATGTGTCTTTTTTCTGTTTTTGTGTTTTTAGGGTATTTTCCTCTTTCACCTTCAAACTGACGAGTCCTAGAAGGACGAAATAGCTGTATGAACTGTAATCCCATCCGTTTTTTTTTCAGATGCTTGTCAGTTGTGTGTATGAATATTCTACCTCAAAGTGATTTTTTTACAGAGTTTAAGAATTGAATCCATGTTTGACGTAAACAGCGTTAACGAAAGGTTGAATACAAACACACAAAACAAATCATTGGTATAAATCGGAGGATTTCTTGTATATGTTATATCTGTATGTCTATCGTTCCCTTTCTTTTCTGCATTTGTTATTCTTCTCGTGATGTTCTCATCAGACAAATTCATAAATGGTAAGTACGACAAGGGTTTAAAGGATTCTCACATGTTTTTATAACGAGATTGTAATTAGTACATTCCTGCATGTGATTTGGGAGACATTCCTCAAATATGTAAATTGACCTCAAAATTTGTAAAATAAAGAAGAACATTTAGAATTTAAAAACGAGAGAAATCAACATTTAAAAATAAACAAACGCATGCGCCCTGCCCCAAACACACAACAAACAAATAGGATAATAGACAAACTTATTATTATAATTGATATATGTTGGCATCCCAGTTCATGATTAAACATTAATTTAATTACGAAATATTACAGAATACGATGTTTTGTGACACTCCTTTTTTCGATTGGCCCTTAAAATTGTGAAATAGATATATGCACTAGGAACAGATGGACCAATTCCACAGTTTATATAACATGTATAGTATATATATAACATAGCACAAAAGAGACAATATTGTATTTTAATCTATACTTGTCTTTCCATATTTACTTATTTTACCATTATACTGGCTCGAGTGAATTGGCACACATCTAAGAATAGAAAGATTTACAGAAAAAATTATATATCAGCTAGTTTGACACACCTATCTATGTGTGATATTAGTGACAGCGATCCCCTGTCCTCGGTTGATAAAACAACTCATTCGTGGTGATGCACTAACTGAGGTCGATCCATACTTAGCCTCTGTGGGACAACAATCGGACGGCCTTGCCCTTGCTGTGAAATGTGACGTTTGCCAGGAACTTCGGCAGGTGCGGGTAAGTGTGGTCTGATGAAAGGAAGGTGTCGTGGGACAAGCATGGCCGGTTCCTTATGAGCTGGAACTGCAACATGGGCAGGAGCATGGAACGCGGCGAGCTCAGGAATATGTTCGGAAGTATGGTGTGGTGCTTGTACTGGAACATGCTGGGGAGCTTGAAAAGCTGGAACATGGGCTGGGGCAGGCTGTGCTTGCGGGAATTGTTGCGGCCGCATTGGGTGCATTTGTGTATGCTGTGGTATTCCCATATGCACTGTGACTTTGTGCGGTATTCCCATATGAGCCGGGACCATCTGTGGTACTCCCACTTGGCGATGTGGTACATGTACAGGCTCATGAATACGACCGGGTATCTTTGGTGGAGCTGCAGGAATATGCAGAGGAGCTTGAGGCTGTACACGGGATTCCTCATTGGCAGGCACGACAGGGTGAAATACTGGTGGAGGTAAACCAGAGTCACCACTTACAGCTGCCCTGACTGATGGTAGTGGCTGAGAGTGTGTCTCCGTTAACCAGTATATCTTGGATTTCTTGCACATCCCGGCTATCATATCGCCCGTTCGTATCTTTAGGTTCTCGAACTGAAGAGGACTTCTGACGATTTCGGGTTCCTGTAAATACAAACATCGACGATTATAGTATGTGCTTTGTACACCGTAATATGTTTTGTTCAAAAAAGATAGTGTAGTAATCTTCATTTTGTGAAAAGTCAAACAATTTTAACTGGCTTTAGAAAACACAAAGGAAACCAGCAATAAAGACTGTCTTAATGTACTTCTTTCAGCGTGAAAAACATTAGCATTGCCACATGACCAAGATTTAGAGATGCTGAAAAGAATATCATATTTAAAATGAATTCCATGCTTGATATTGATAATTTATAGACCTTTGATGTGGTCAATATGATATTTTATAAAGTTATATGGTAGCACTTCAGGTCAAAGGTCAAAATAACACGATATTGACGTTATTGCTGACGTATCAGTAATATGATGATTGCCTTGTAAACATTATCAAAATAACAACAATCAATAAAATGGAAAGAACAAAGAAATAAAAAAAAACAAGTAAACCCATGTTTTTGTTTATTTAACAGAGTTAAAAGTTCTAAACTAAAACGTTTATCTAAGACACGTTCATAATATTCCGAGGTTTATATAATCTGGCTCTTCTAAATATCAAAAAATCATGAAATCCATACAGTCTTGATGTTTGATTATATATCAATCTTCATGTGACCAATCGGAACAAAATCTTCACATATGTAACATAAAACATGTTCATATAATGCATTCGATAGAATGACACTGGCGATTCACGTGTTGATTAACCACATGCACACAAAACATCTCCGAGGGTTTAAACCGTTTTGTTATGTATTCAGCGTAAACAACCCATCATTTAGAATCCGATAGTATTTTCTAATAACTGGTATTTTTGCCAAAAAAATGCATTGAATATAGTGCATTATAAAATCGAGCTATCAAAGTGTAGATTTGATCGTAATTAATCAAACAAGAAAAATAAAATAGATATATGTCATGTTCTGCTTCACCGTCGTTTTATTTTACCTTATGACATAAAACGGAAAACAAGGACATTAAGAAATAGAATGCTGGACGTTCCCCTGTATGGTTAATAAAAGGAAGTATAGATGATGACTGGGCAGATCACTGAACGGCCATCATTCATTTGTCCTAGGCTAGATTTGTGTCAAAGTCAGAAAATGTTACAATATTTTCAGAGATATTTCTGATTATAATTTCTCAAAGAACTTTAATAGAATTGTGACTTTATCTATATAAAAAGATTAATGTAGGCACAAAAAGCTCTAGAAAAATGGGACACAACTCGACATGGCGTAAACATGACTAAAATACAAACTGGAGCGTATAACATTGCATTGCTACGATGGGCCATCAAAGAATTATTTTGTTTGTGTCCTTTACAAATGAGTACAAAGGAATGAAGGGGTCAGAAACGACGATAGATAACTTAGAATATTTAACGTTTTCCGTAATATTTTTATCCTAGGTCTTAAACAAAGTTTTATTTTGAAGTCTATATTGCATCATACACAATGGTACGTGCAAATGTGTCTTACTTACATGGGTGTTCACCAGAGCTTGTTTCTCTCTGATATCCAAATTCCATTCCGGATCAAAATCTGTGATGAAACATGCTTTGAAGTTGTTGTCCTTGACACTGGTTAACCTCTACAGAGAAAAGACGTGTTTATATATTAAACGAAGTTCTTGTTAAAAATATATTGAAAACATTAAGAAAATTCCAACATGTAAACATAATCATGATTGTAGCCCAGTTTCAACAAAACTATGCAAAAGTCGAGGAGAATATGACCAGGTTTCCGGAAGTGATGTTTCCAAAGACGACACCCGCCATATAAATCTTTGTCAGTTCAAGTAAGTATTGTCTTCACCCCAAATGATCACACATTAAACAACAACAGAACCAACGGGAAAATTAACGAGCATCACAAAGATCCAACTTCATATCACAGTTCCAGTTAGATTAGGATGACGGAAATCTAATCAGGATTTCATTGTAAAACAAAATCGGAGCCTAAAATACTTCCGGGTCACTTTCCATGTATATAAAAGAATGTGAGTACGAATACTACGATCGAAATGTTCCTCTTCTTTTTGAAGTAAAACTGCTTTAAATATCAGACAACGCTTGACATTGTCGTGGTAAAGACAACGTTTAGAGATTTATCATCTATTGTGATTGTAGGATATTGACATAAAGATTTTTAATGAATTATGAATTCTTTATATCAGTTACATAGTATTTTCTAAATTTAACTTTTACTTACGAGTTTGAAGTAATAGATGAACTGGTTAGTTGAATAAAGTTGATGATAAAAACATTCACTTCATTTGGAATAATTTCTCATACTAATTCAATAACATACAAAAAAAAAAGTACATGGATGCTTTATAGTCTAAAAGCTATTGAGATGATCAGTGTGTACCTTTCCTCAATTTATGATAAACAGTTATTATTTTCAACAGTCATATAAGACATTAATTCTGTCAGTAAATCAAAATGATATGAATAATGAAACGGTGACACTTGAGGAACATTAATCTAACTTTGTTGAACAATGGTAGCATGCGTTATTTTGTTTGTTGAATTTTTTTGAGGAATATCTGTGAAATGTTTTTGTTCATGTTTTGCTCCAATTTATTGAATTTGAGTTTGGATTAGGATTGTGTTGACATGTTGGTATTTTCTTGCTTTTTACGAGAATGCACGACAACAACAATGACATTTATAAATCTAGTGAACTACCCAGATACACCGTCAAGTGGACAAGACCACAGTGATTCCTTGTTTTGGTTCCTTAAGACAGACACAAATAAGCAGCAACTCCAAGTTATAACAAAAACAACATGTAACTAGATATTTGTCATGCAAATATCTTATATCAGACCACATTTAATTATAAGTAATGTTATTAGCTTCAGAAGCGATTGAAATCGAAAGCATACAAATTAATTTGATAAGGCAGTATAGTGATATCTCTACACGCACATATGTGAATTTGTTAGAAGGTAAAGACGAGCATTCCAAAAACACTAAGTTTTCTTAATTAATTTCCACACAAAACTTTGAACAATATCAATTTAATTACCAAGAGAATCCCGATAGCGACAGAGAACCAGTCTCTATTCATTACTCAAATAATCTTTGTAACAAGTCCGTCGGTATTTATCCTTTAATCCAGACATATTACAGGTGTTGGGTGACATTGGTATGGTGTAGACAATATGACAGCGCTACATTTATCTCCGCCCATAGATGGGTAGTGTTTCTATTTGTGTCGAATTGTTTTCTCCGGCACAGGTAATTCTGCGGTTTCCTTTTCCGCTAATTAATTCGATGTGTCGGATGACTTGTATCCTTATGTTAAATTTTGTAACAGATAAACATTTCATTAATTGCTGAGCATAGCCAGTTATATTTAGGAAGATAGTAAAAGTATCAAATTTTCAGTAAGTGTTTCTGCTAGTTTGATTATCTATAATGTACATATATTAATGCTTATACAAACTATTTACTGAGAGTCCGTGCACCTACTGTGGAGGATAGCTGATTCAGATCTAAGGCATTCAGTTATAGCTATTAATGTCAATCAACAGTAGACTGAAATAGTATTTACATGTATTCAGAATATAGTTCATGTTTTACATGTGATGATTCACAGAATTAAGATCTGTTTTTGAAGATATTTAAGTGAAATGTGACCAAAAAAGAGACGTTAATTCTGACGGCAACATATATTAAAACTTCTGTCTGCGGTGCTCAATTCTATCCTTAGTATTACTCAGGTAGGTTCAATTTTTAAAAAAGAAGAAAAACGAAAAGAAAAAAGACTGATAAATTGATAAATGGCCTACAACCTAGTCATATGATTTAGAATTTTATGTATTCAGGTTATATTAGTCAAAAAATGATCTGTATAGATAGGTGACTTGACACGTCAGACTTAATTCATTTTTGTTTTGGAGGTCATGCGTGTATTTAGGGGGTTTTGGTTTATTTCCTATCATTTCTTGGGCACTCTTAATCAATGTATTCACATGTCCATGAACTGTTTAAGGTCAGTATAATTGGTTTTACTGAGCTGTATTTATCCGCGAAATCCTTTAAATAGTATACAGTTTAAAACAATCCAACATTTCTGGTTTTACGAAAAAAAAGTTGAGTGAATTTATCAGAGGCGACCACTTAGACAAAACACGATATCAGATGGTTTCACCGACTGATTACCAGTATAGGATTATTTCTTTAACGTAGCTCATATGTAATAGACAAAACACGATATCAGATGGTTTCACCGACTGATTACCAGTATAGGATCATTTCTTTAACGTAGCTCATATGTAATAGACAAAACACGATATCAGATGGTTTCACCGACTGATTACCAGTATAGGATCATTTCTTTAACGTAGCTCATATGTAATAGACAAAACACGATATCAGATGGTTTCACCGACTGATTACCAGTATAGGATCATTTCTTTAACGTAGCTCATATGTAATAGACAAAACACGATATCAGATGGTTTCACCGACTGATTACCAGTATAGGATTATTTCTTTAACGTAGCTCATATGTAATAGACAAAACACGATATCAGATGGTTTCACCGACTGATTACCAGTATAGGATTATTTCTTTAACGTAGCTCATATGTAATAGAAAAGAGAAATAAAAAAGAAAAATCAAATTCGTGTAACTATCACATATGCAACTTCCGCATAAGAGGGGAATTTTGTTACAAATCAAACCAAATTACAAACCATGTGACATCATTGACATAGTCAAGCCGACCATCAGAGACTGTTATCTAGCATCCTCAAAGGAAAGGGTTCCGCTGAACAACGCCGTTCCATAGGGTACAGTAGATAACGAATAATAAAAAAAATTACACATTTCCGATATATCTGTCTTCACAGACGCTTGGGGAATGGAATGAAACTCAAGATGGTATATAGAAATGTCGATAGAAGACTACAGTCCTACTTACTATGTATAAAACAGAATAAAAAACAAGAATTAAACGGATGGTTTCCAAATTTTAACAATTTTACGTAATTTTTTTTTTTTTCAAAATTATGGTTGTTGGTTATTATTAAGTGATCATAGTGTTTAACTCCAGAAACAAATGTCCAGGAATGTAACAGGCTTTCGTGTTAGTCATTGGAAATGTTTGTATGTAAAATAAAATCTCAGAAAATACGTTTTGTTTCAATTTCATGTGAATCAGCATAGATATGTACCACTGTTGTGTATATAATGAGGTTTGTTCCCTAGTTATATGTACTTATAAGATAATTGAAATGTACATGTATAAAAAGTTCTAAATGAATAATTATGAACTTATTTCATGTTGGACTATGATATGTAAAAACAAAATTGACCCCATCGTTTCATTCCTGTAGTGTATCTTACCGACACTTCATCACTGTAAACAACATTTCCATCCTCTGAGATCGCATCCATCAATCTCACTGGCTCATGTTGAGGTGCTGGAACAGCGTCGAAATCTGAGAAGCGGCTGTGTACCAGCTAAACGAATTATTCGAAACATAATTAAAATTCAAACTAATTGCAATTATACTTGATTTTCATATTTGCAACTTGTACAATAGCAATACCCTAATATTGATTTAATTAGTGGTTGTTATGTATCATATGTACGTATAATGTTTTCAGAACAACATTGGACAAACATTTTATTCGCCATTGAATAACATTTCATTTTTACCATTTTTGTTAAGTTTGCACTCATATACATAGAAACCATAATGTATATTTTTAAATTCCATCTTAAGACACTATTTGTCAGTAATACTTACTAGAGGTAGCACAAGGAGAAGTACAGTTATTCCCAAACGCATTTCGTATATCTTTTTCTAGCCCACACAATATGACCTGTAAGCTGCGAGATATTTCTGAAAAATTAACTTCAATTCAAACCGACGTCAACTTAAATATAAAATCTAACAGGTCATATTAATGACCCGAGATCACGTAGAGAGTGGAAGTTTGTTTAGGATCGCGATAAGCCCACCCGACCGTTGTATTGTATGGTAGCCACCTACGAGCGCACACTGTAAGGGAAAGCTACCTACCTCGACATCGGCATCTGTTCAGTGTAATCTCGATGGCAATTGTTTACACATGGATGTAAATTAGTTTAGGTTTCCATTCACATACTATTTCACAGGTTAAAATACAATCATCGTATCGTTGATTATAAATAGTAACAGTTTAACACTTTTATTCCAACAAGAAAATAATCAAATTTATCGATTTTTTTTTACATTTTCGTGTCCAAATGTGATGAAACTACAGGATATTTCGATATTACTTAAAGTCTACAACAGACATTTTCAAATGGTGTCGACTTAATTCTGAAATTTGAAATAACTCTTATAATAACATACCAGCATCGAGTATGTATTTTTCGTTTACACTACTCCTTCGTAATTGATGCAACATCAGATGGAATGTTAAAAAAGTAAACAAAAAAGATATACTGTCCTTACTGATCTCATTGAGAAATATTCCTTGTACGATATGAAGCTGGACGTGTTTGATGCTCGTTAGTTTGCCTGTTGATTCTCATTAGATAAATGACATTGTTTACTCGGATTGACCAATTGACCATTGGCGGGTGTCGTCGATGACGCAAAAGACGCTTACTCTTCCGGAACATCTGGTCTTACTGTTTTGTACTTTTTCAGGGGTCTCCGATTATTTTTTTCTCCATACTTTGTCGTAGTTTTATTGAATAGTTTGGATCATGATTCTGTTGACATCTTGGTATTTTCTTGATGTTTTCATTACATATTTAACGTAGTCTTTGTTGTCTTTAAATAGTATTCTGTATGTTTTATAACTTATAAACACATGTTTGTGTTCCTGAATTTATCAAATGGTCATGTACAGGAACATTCGAATATAATACCTGCATCAAGTAAAATACAAAACACTGTTTGAGAATTAACAGACAAATAAGTAAATAAGTACAATAAAGATATTACCTATATTACAATTAAAACATTTTCATATCATCGTTCCTTTAACAACAACAACACCTGAAATTACTTGTCTTCATGAGTTCAAATGAGCAATGAATGAATTATCAAAAGCTAAATTCGCTCTTAAGAATTTAAAATCTTAAAAGAATTTCCAGGTAAAAAAGTCAAAATAAATCCTATTCACAGGCACAACATTTGATCACAGTTTGACCTTAATTTTTGAAAAAAAATATAGAAAAGCTGACGGAGGGTTCAGCCACATAACATTTTTTCGAAATTTTTAAACCAATGGTTATAATTTCAATAAAAAGAGACGAAACGAAAAACTCATATTAGATGGAACAATTACATACGGTCAGAACATTACACAGTCGGTCAGAACATTACACAATCGGTCAGACCATTACACAGTCGGTCAGAACATTACACAGTCGGTCAGAACATTACACAGTCGGTTAGAACAGAACATTACACAGTCGGTCAGAACATTACACAGTCGGTCAGAACATTACACAGTCGGTTAGAACAGAACATTACACAGTCGGTCAGAACATTACACAGTCGGTTAGAACGTTACACAGTCGGTTAGAACAGAACATTACACAGTCGGTCAGAACATTACACAGTCGGTCAGAACATTACACAGTCGGTCAGAACATTACACAGTCGGTTAGAACAGAACATTACACAGTCGGTCAAAACATTACACAGTCGGTCAGAACATTACACAGTCGGTCAGAACATTACAAAGTCGGTCAGAACATTACACAGTCGGTTAGAACAGAACATTACACAGTCGGTCAGAACATTACACAGTCGGTCAGAACATTATATAGTCGGTCAGAACAATGCACAGTCGGTTAGAACAGAACATTGCACAGTCGGTTAGAACAGAACATTACACAGTCGGTTAGAACAGAACATTACACAGTCGGTCAGAACATTACACAGTCGGTTAGAACAGAACATCACACAGTCGGTCAGAACATTACACAGTCGATAAGAACATTACACAATCGGTCAAAACATTACACATTCGGTCAGAACATTACACAGTCGGTCAGAACATTGCAAAGTCTGTCAGAACATTACACAGTCGGTTAGAACAGAACATTACACAGTCGGTCAGAACATTACATAGTCGGTCAGAACAATACACAGTCGGTCAGAACAATACACAGTCGGTCAGAACATTACACAGTCGGTTAGAACAGAACATTACACAGTCGGTCGGACATTACACAATCGGTTAGAACAGAACATTACACAGTCGGTCAGAACATTGCACAGTCGGTCAGAACATTACATAGTCGGTCAGAACATTACACAATCGGTTAGAACAGAACATTACACAGTCGGTCAGAACATTACACAGTCGGTCAGAACATTGCACAGTCGGTCAGAACATTACACAGTCGGTCAGAACATTACACAGTCAGTCAGAACATTACATAGTCGGTCAGAACATTGCACAGTCGGTTAGAACAGAACATTGCACAGTCGGTTAGAACAGAACATTGCACAGTCGGTCAGAACAGAACATTAAACAGTCGGTTAGAACATTAAATAGTCGGTCAGAACATTACACAGTCGGTCAGAACATTACATAGTCGGTCAGAGCATTACACAGTCGGTCAGAACATTGCACACTCTGTCAAAACATTACACAGTCAGTCAAAACATTACACAGTCGGTTAGAACAGAACATTACACAGTCGGTCAGAACATTATACAGTCGGTCAGAACATTACATAGTCGGTCAGAGCATTACACAGTCGGTCAGAACATTGCACACTCTGTCAAAACATTACACAGTCAGTCAAAACATTACACAGTCGGTTAGAACAGAACATTACACAGTCGGTCAGAACATTATACAGTCGGTCAGAACATTACACAATCGGTCAGAACATTGCACAATCAGTCAAAACATTACACAATCGGTTAGAACAGAACATTACACAGTTGGTCAGAACATTACCTAGTCGGTCAGAACATTACAAAGTCGGTCAGAACATTACACAGTCGGTCAGAACATTACACAGTCGGTCAGAACATTACACAGTCGGTTAGAACAGAACATTACACAGTCGGTCAGAACATTACACAGTCGGTAAGAACATTACACAATCGGTCAAAACATTACACAGTCGGTCAGAACATTACACAGTCGGTCAGAACATTGCAAAGTCTGTCAGAACATTACACAGTCGGTTAGAACAGAACATTACACAGTCGGTCAGAACATTACATAGTCGGTCAGAACAATACACAGTCGGTCAGAACAATACACAGTCGGTCAGAACATTACACAGTCGGTTAGAACAGAACATTACACAGTCGGTCGGACATTACACAATCGGTTAGAACAGAACATTACACAGTCGGTCAGAACATTGCACAGTCGGTCAGAACATTACAAAGTCGGTCAGAACATTACACAGTCGGTCAGAACATTACACAGTCGGTTAGAACAGACCATTACACAGTCGGTCAGAACATTACACAATCGGTTAGAACAGAACATTACACAGTCGGTCAGAACATTACACAATGTTTGAACAGGTTTCGCTCTATCATAAATGAACGCATAGACTTATGAAATAAATGGACAGACTGCCGGCCGGAGAGAGCGATTCCGGTATATTTATAACTTTGTTGAGAGAGGTATATAAAACAAAAGTTAACATAAGACTATGAATACTTTATTTGTAGATCTAGAATTTAAAACATTGTTAAGATAAACATGTGATCTAGAATCTACAGAATGTAAAACAATCTACAAATCGGGTTTAATAAGGAACTCGGTAAACAGAAAAGTTTACCACACCTTTTGGCAGCCACACATGGGTCTAGACAGAAAATCTTGATTAATGAGTAGAAGTACAGTATGCATGATTCGCCATTAAAGGGAAGTAGGAGTGCACAGTTCGGCAGAACCTACACCTTGTGTTCACTAGATTGTATATCAAATGTAAGCAATGTCGTTCAGATGGTTAAACACACGGTGTATAACTTATTAAAAGAAAACAGATAAACAACATCATTAATCAATAAGAGGGATAAGACCCATTAGCTCGCCATTATCCTAATTCTGTTAAAATCAACCATTTATTTGGTCATTGGACGCTTGTATGAATGGCTTCAGGAGGAGACATGGCTATTTAAGTAGATCGTGTAGACGCCGTCCGTGTTCGGGTTTTCATTATCATAGATATTGTTGACAAAATCGCTATTTACGACCTCAGTAAATCTTACTCAAGCTCCCTTGCAAAGCTTAGCTTTTCTAAATATAGGAGAATAGAACGCTTTTCCTCAAAAGCAGTAAATTATATTTACGTCACGGGAAATGAGTAAGATATAGTTCTTATGTCACGGAGTAGATTAATGGTAAGGAACTTTTTACTTTAAATGGTTAAATTTCCAGATTAAATGGCTGAAATTAGTGACCGAGATGCTTGATTGATTAAGTTTGTTATAAGCTTGATATAATGGTTAGGACTTTTGTCCCTCACTTATCACATTTATAACTGTGGAGTTCCTAAATTATACCACGTTTACATTGATATTCCTTCTTTAATAGTACTTTATTTAGAATGATTAAAAATGATTGAATTTTGAAATACTGAAACTTTTGGAGTAGTGCACCTCTCCATTTGGTTTCTGACATTTATTTCAATCAAGTCTTAATTTCTTTGGTCGCCTCCTTGGTTTCAAATTAGAGGACCTAGGCATCACTGACGAGTCTCAGAGGCGACAAAACAGGTATATGATGCAGCTAAATTCATTATTTATCTAAGTTTGTACATGTACATAAACAATCTCTCGTCATCTATTACGTTTTGTTACAGTTT